ATATTTTATTTTTTGAAAAGTTGGTATATTTTTTTATATTTGGCAAAAGTTGGGCATTATTTTTATTCTCCCTTTTTTATACTTGGGGCATTTTTTTTAATCTCATGTTTGTATTAGGAATGAATTAGCATAATTTAACAAAATACCCCACAATAACAAAGTTCACATTAATATGCTATAACCATTCAGTTTACTACTAACCAAGTAAAGCTAAATTAAAGAATACGTGACTTCTAACCAGGTTCCACATTAGCTCAGATGGTAGAGCGCTTGCAAAATACAAGCAAAGGTCATTGGATTGAACCTAATGGGTAGGTAGTTTGTTGGTGTCTCATGCCCATGTCCCTGTTTCCCTTGTCCCTATGTCCTCATACCCATGTCCTGTGTTCTATGTCCCATGTTCTATGTTCGAATTTCTTACAACATTCGTTCTGTATGTATCTGTAGGTCACTTAGTGTTTTAGTATAACAATTGTGATAAAACAGTCAAATATTGAACTCGACATTGTACGCAAAAAGTTTATGTATATTATGCAATATAAAGTAGATACTTAGTTCACGCTATTTGTCACTACTACATCGATGTGATGTATTCTTTAATTTAGCTACACTTGGTTAATAGTAAACTGAATCGTTATAGCAAATTAATGTATACTTTGTTATTGTGGGGTATTTTGTTAAATTATGCTAATTCATTCCTTATACAAACATCTTCTGTTGTGTAATATTACGGCTCAACAGTGATGGGGTATTTTTTTTATTTTTTGAAAAGTTGGGATATTTTTTTTATATATGGCAAAAGTTGGGCATTTTTTTTATTCTCTCTTTACAATTTCTACACTTGTAGCTACAACTTCAACATAGCGCTTTCATTTGATATTTGTTTTCTTGGAATTGATATATAGTAATAAAGCTTTATATGTTACTCAATTATACTATTTTGTCTGCGGTGCATTGAGAGTACAATGCGTTCTGGATCAGTTGTGTCAAATCTTGCAGATGGAGCCCCATCTCGAAGCTGAGTTGCGGCGAGGGCTACTTGAAGCAGCCCCTTACGAGGACAGCCCTAAACGAGACAAAGTATCCACCAGTGTTCGGCTACTGCTATCATTGCGGAAAACGTGGGCTGCACGCGGCCATTTCCCTTACAAGTTAGCGCTGCATGTCACGCTGGTACTCCTCACCTTCACACAAATGCAGCTCTACGACGCACAAAATACCGCCTATTTGCGTGCGTCACATCGAAACTGGTACATCTTGTTGCATCCTCTCATTTGTAGCCGATTGTCTGACTGCACATTCTTGTAATAGGGCATTTTTCTTTCTGCCGCCTTCAGCTACAATTGGTATAATGTAAGTGTCGTTTAATGGACTAAAATGAAATAATTGAAATCCTAATAAAATGCACAAATTGTGTACATTTTGTAGCCCGCGCTATCAGCGCGAGTTATACACAATCGAGCATACGTTAACCGCGTTGCTCTTTCTGCGAGACGCCTATTTTACAATCGGCAATACATCCGTTGCCAGTTATGAGTACTTACGTTTGTCTTCAGGCGACATTCAGCCAATTCGATTGGCAGTCGTTCAAATGCTTCCTAATGGCAATTTAGTAAAGCGGGAGTACCTTGTTTATCAGGATGACAAAAGTGTGGGGCCTTTCGACCCTACACTGCCGTGGGGGCAGAAAATAAATTTGTTTCGATCGCTACGCAGTGTTAGGTTCTCTTTTTCGCTCCGTGATCATCAATTTGGGACTCATTATCTGGAATGCTTTGAGTGGCAAGTGAATGTGCGATTTGAAGTTATTGAGAGCGCCCAGATTCGTGTGCAACTGGAGGATTCCGAAGTGTTTAGCTGTTCAAATTCGTATTCTCGTCCATTCTGGACGGCGACAAGACAGAGCTTTGTATGGATGCACATAACTATTGCGGTGGTTTCCAGTTTGTACATGGTGCTAAGTCTCAAATATCTATGGCGATGCTTTAACGCGTGAGTTTTAAAAAATGATGTGCGGAGACATTCTTATCCTAATTTCTGCTTGGTTTGCTTTGCTTCGGAAATATATCACGGGCTAGAAAGCCAAACGAGGACGATAACATGCCATTCAAACATGGAATGGACGATGTTCTCCACAATAACACAACCGAAATCGAAAACCGCGACCGCTCGCAGCAATATTTCAGGCAGTACAATAACCCTTCATACTGGAGATTTAGACAAATCAACAGCTTGTAAGTATGTTCTCTGTCGTATTGTACTTTGAACGCTTCGACTAACTATATGATAATGTCTTGCAACAGTCAATTAATTGTCTTAGTTTCGCTTGTCCTCTTACTCTGCAGCACGACATGGAGTCTATTTCTTAGAGAGGCTCATATCCCGATTCGTTTTTGGCATCGTTTACTGCATGCGACAGCACTATTGTTGCTTTGGAGTAGTTCTATGGGATATCTCCAACATAATCAGAACATTTTTTCGATTGTGTTAACCCTCAAATTGGGATTACCACGCGTGTTGCAATTTTTGCTAGGCGTATTTCCACTTTTTTTTGGATATGCCCTTTTTGGGACAATATATTTTGGGAACAAGATTGAAGAATTTGGCTGTTTGAGTGCTTCAATGGTAACTTTATTCTCCCTTATGAATGGAGACGCTATCTTGGATACTTTTGACGCAATGAAGCTCCACAACTTCTCTATTTCGGGAAAAGTTTACATGTATTCGTTTATCTCGCTCTTCACGTATGTGGTTTTGAACATTTTTATCGCTATAGTCGAGGAGGCGTTCTTTGCAACTCAATCTTCCCGCCGCCGGCTCAATGACTTACTATCGGATCGTCATGTATTGAAGACATAACCTTCTTTGCCTTCGCAGAAATGGGTTGGACTTCATCTATGTTTTTTCTCCTCAAATGGCTGGGGATAGCGTCAAAGTAGCGTAGTGTTTGAATACTTCTATTATCGAGTCTTTTTGAAATTTAATCACTTGACAAAGTTAGAATTAACCGTTTCTTAAAGCCGCTTTGGAAATTATGAAAGGATTCTAACCCTACATTAGTGAGAGTTTGATGAAACAAAGAGCACTCGGGACTCATATTACTTCCTATGCAAAATGAACAGTAAATACCAGTCTGTATATGTAATACTGGAATCCCATTCAAACGCAATGCGTGCAAGCTAAGGAAAATAGCTCCACAGTGTTGTAATAATTGAGTCATTTCCTGATGAGGGCGTGTTGGGGACCGTAGATACGACATTGCGAGCTGTTAAAAAGGGCGAAGTACATAACATTTTTTTGCGACCGTCATTTCACATGATTATATAATCAAACCAACTATTTGTAAGTAGTACTATCAAGCATTATACTAGTTGGAGTGACGGGCAAGACATCTACGCCGGAAGCGAGATACGAAAGTTAATTGTTATTACTAGTTGATAAGCATGTAGACCATGTTGGTGTGAATATGATTGCTTTCACCTTCCCAACTAACAAACCTGGAAACGTTAGAAGCCCAACGCCGATAATCCTGTTTCACTAGTTGTAACAATTCAAGCGATCGTGGACCGTTCAACGACTGTTTCAATAGAAAGGAAATAGTCAGAACGAATTATTTCAGCTTCTCACGACTCTGTCTGAATGATTTAAAAAGATTGGAGAAGTCGCATCATGGAGATCAAAAAACTCACTGTTTTAAGCGAAGGAGACATTGCAGATATTTGCCAACCCTAAAGATCTCTCAAACACGTCGCCTGAGGCGTATTTTTGGTTGCCATATCGTATGGAAATGTGCAACGGCGTTGCCGTTCACAATCCATGCAGAAAGTCTCGATACAAATAGCCCGAGATATCAAGCACACTGCAGTTATGTCCATACGCTCCAAAAATAAGAGCATCTATATTCAGGCCACCCTGCTATTTCATGTGTGATGCAGCGGGGCTGCCGAAGCAAAACGCTTGAGTAAGCGTACTTTAGGTCACCGACCATTCGTTCTTTACAAGAACCAAGAATGAGTTAGCGGATCGTAATCCGCTTACTCCAAGAGTAATTATTGCCTTCCCAAACCGATTTTTTATTGATTTTTTATCCTAGTTTTAAAAGTTTAGATTTTCCTAAATATCCAAGATATAAATAGTAGAATATAAATACATGCATAACTACTGGCTACCTAGCCCCGAACTGTATTCTTGTTTGGGTGCAGTCACACCATGCACATCTCGTGTGACACACATACCCCTGTTACCAGGGTTCGTGTAACCCCATTACATGTGACATATGTTTGAGATGATTTCATCTCGACCAAAACTATTATCCACGATAAACTAAAGCTCAAAACCACCTGTGTTGCTTGACGTGAAGCCAGCAGCCCACATTTAACACGCATATCATATTGGATCCCGTTATCGTCAGTAGCATCAAGGCTTTGGTTGTACAGAACATACACAAAAATACAATTGTGTGATGTGAGCTCGTGACACCAATGGAAGTTTAAGGTTATAGTACATCACGTACCCCTCCCGTTACAAACCCACCTGTATGAGAACCACACGTTTACATTGCGAGAAATGAACGCTCAACGAGCTCATACTGTGCAAGGAATTCACTCCACTTCTTGCGCTCAACAGTAGTGCCGCAACATCACACTGGCGACGATGTTCAACTCGCCACAAATGAGCTGGACATGGCTCAGAGAGAGCCCAGCTTGCCGTCTAAGCGCAAAGGTTACTTCAGCTCTTGCAATCTCATCACGTCGTGAATATGTTCTCAGACCTTCTAAAGTTGCTCGCCGCACTGGAGCGGAGCCATATCGGGCCTATGCATGCGAGCCCTCTGCTCACACCGAGAGTGCATCGAGTGCCAGATGATTGATCCGCAAGAAATCCTAGCCTTACAAGCTATAGCTCCTCAAAAGTATCGCGTGTGCTTAGGTTTGCGTAGATTCGTACCATTCATGAGTATGAACGTTGAATGCTGAGTGCAGGCGAGTGCCAAAGGGTATCGAACTCTGGTTTAGATTTTTTTTTAGTAAAGCAGAAGTCTGACCAGCTGTCAACCAATACTTTATTATATAAAGGACAAAGAATACCGCGGACATTGAGGTCTAACATCCAGCTTCTGCTGATCACAGTTCCTCTCAATCTCCGTGAATATATAATTTGTAACGGGGTTACATATACCCTGGTAACAGGTGTGTGTGGCATACCAGATGGGCATCGTGTGACCACTTCCAAACAAGAATAGGTACGGGGTCGGATAGCCAGTAGTTCTACATGTTTTTAGAGTTTACTATACATATTTGGGAAAATCTATGCATTTAAAATTAGGCGGCTTTGCCGCAGATATAAATAAATAAAGTCAGTTTTGAATTTTAACGAAGATTTAATTAGCCTTGAGTTAAGGCTATAATTACTTTTGGAGTAAGCGAATTGCGATTTACTAAACTCGTACTTGTCCTGAGTATATAACGAAATGTCGGTGACCTAACTAACGCTTCCTCAAATCGCAAAGCTACGGCAGCCCCGCTGCACCATTAAACCAACCGACTATGAATTGAGCGTGCAACAAGGTCGATTCTTTTCGACAAGCGACACTTCCAATTCTTTTGGAAGATAAGGGCTAGGTCCACCAGGTTGTGATAAGTAACGGCATCATAACAATTTTGCGGACGGGAGATCTCAAGCTCCCAAAGCTTTCGGATTTTTGTGCTCCACCTCATTTTGGTGACAGCTCGTAGACTGTTCCACACCAAGATGTCTTTCTTCTGGTCATCGAACAGCGCTGGCGGAGGACGACAATCCCACAGTTGAATCACGAGATCTTTTGGGTGTGATAGCTCGTGAATTATCCAGGATTCTTAGCATGCGTCCGAAGTTGAGATGTGTCAGCTTTAATGTGTCAGTCATCATACTACCTGACTTGAGGCACTTTCAACGGCTCAGAACCATGTCGCTGTGGTTTAGCAGAGGGCAGCTTTGCTATAGAACGTGGTGACGGTATAGCGACGTTTGCGACTGAGCAATTCTAATCCAACTGGCTTGAAATAGAGGGAATGTGATTTGGTTTCAGCAAGCCCATGTAGAGGCCGCCTTTCCTGCCACATCCCCGTTATCATTCGACGCCCGTTATGAGGAGATCAGCAAGGGGCCATCTTATGTTAGAATTTCTGTACCATCTTCGCGCAAGTAGTTGGTCAAGTCACTTTCCGAAGCCCTGTTCGGACCTAAACACTGGCCAATGTACTATTTATACGGCAATATATATAATAAATGGGCGAATTTTGCATCTTTAAAGATTCAGAATTTGCCCGCAAGCCGTTTTCCGTATGAAGCGATCCATAACAGAATGCGTCTGCGCTCAAGACACACTTTGGCGCCGAGAAAGCTATTTGCCAAATATTCTTGTATATATTGTCGAAGCTTATTTCGACTCATTCTCTCGAGCAATGCTCGCAAGTGGATTTTTGGATCTCTTCATCCCACTCTCGTGCTCCATCCACAATACAATTGGCAGAATACCCGTCGAAACAGATTTGTGCATAGATGCGATGTGACCTGAACAGCGGCATCATTTTATAACTATATACCTGGTGCGTTAGAAAATTTCTGCAATTTCTGTAGCATAAATATTCACCCCGCCTGAAGAACTCACCGCAGTAAATGAGTCACTACTATTTTGCGTAAGTGATTGCTCAAACCTATTAGTTAGATCAAGAGCACTGAACAAGATTCAAACGACCATGCTGTTTTGCATAGAGTTTCTTGGAACCGGCTGCTATGTTTGGGCAGCAGATGCGCTCAGCTTACAATAAGGAGGCATACCTCGTCAATTGCCGTTGACCTTCCTGACGTGGAAAGTCGATTCCGAGTGGGGGAATTTTGCTCCCCCCACTAATACCGCGTTCTACCGTGTATGCACAATATCTTCCGAGGTTCATCTCTTCAGGTGCACATTGACCGCTCACGTTTCTCATTCGTCTAGCCCTCACGGCACAATGCGTACTCCGCATTCGATGTCGCACACACTCCATCCTCGAATGATGTTAGTTAGACGTAAGAGGCCTCGGCTCGAGCCGCAGCATTTAATGGACCATCATGTAAGCTGTTGCTTATATCGTCTCACATGAGGATCTATCTCCGTTGACACGATAACAGCACTCTACGCTTGGGCACCGTTCGCTAAATATTGATTTCGTCGACGGGAGGAGCAAAACTTAAGCCCACAATAATCTAGGCCTAATTAAGTTGAAAATTACGCATCACATGTCGTTTTACAGCTGCCTATGTCAGGAACATATCCTATCAAGGTAGTTTATGAGGGTGCCGATTATTGTCGAGATCAAAGACCTGTAGCGCGAGACGCTCTTGCTCTGTCTGACGCATGGATGAACCAATGGCCATCTCAACTGTCATCATAAAAGAGGTTTAACCACCTTCTTCTCAGAGCGCTGAATTTTCATCATAAACGGCCTAGTGATGGGAGCGGTTTGGCTTCAACCGAAGCCTAGTTGGAGCGTTCGTGGAAATGAGGTCTCACTAGCGCTTTTTAATGAATAGTGAGCGACTCCAAGCTAGCACTTTCTGGCTCCAGCCCTTAGTGCCAGCAATTTCTAAAGTCTTCAACGCCAACGAAAAGCTTGAGCCTTAACAAATGAGTCAACCTTTACCAGCGGTGGATAGTTGAGCAAATCGCGCCTATTTTTACATAAATATACTCTATCAAGACTCGGTCTCGGACGGACGAATAAATCAACATTGTGCAACAGAGCTAACGCTCCCAGCATTATAAGCTCTGGAGACATTTGTTTAAAGCTGCTCACATCTATCCCGACAAGGTTTAGCCCTAAAAACCGCGGAATATGATTGCTTACTGTCTTGTCAGCAGAGTTCAACGCTAACGCAGGCGATCAATAGCCGAACTCTCTCGACGAATTTGCTCAAGAATTCTGAAAACCGTTGTCAAATGGCTTGGACAACCCCATTTCTTACATCAAAGCTGATGCACACTTTTTTACTTTCTAGCAGAGGTAGGTTCGTGTCTTACCAAATCTTCATTTGGGGTACAGTGCGTGACTTTTAATGTTTGCCCCTTCCGGTCGTTTCATGGCTCAAGTCTAAGACCCAAGCATGTACCACACTTAATAGTCTAAAGAAGCTATTCATTAGGCTAAGAATAAGCTCTGTCAGGTTCCTGTCCCGCGTAACGCACGGGTACTTGGCTTTCCCAATACCTTCGTATATACCTTCCTGTTTTCAACTTTTTTGTAAGACACTCACGACTAAATAAATCTTTTGTAAGCTTCACCGTGATGTCAATGACCAGCAAAATTAGCTATAATTTTAACCTCGCATAGAAAGCTTCACCATTCTTATACTGGGTTCTCTTACTACTACCTTAACAAGGTAGAGTAGAAAGCAGTGCCATTAAGCCACCAGCTGAGACGCGATATCATTTCTCAAAGGGTTTATCAATCGGCCCTGCATGAAAGTTATGACCATGCGTTCCTCAGAGTTGAGACCAAGCAGGACTGTTTTTTTTATCCCTGCAGATGACACTACGCTACTCAGCAGCCAAGTCAGTACTCTATTTAAAACCTGATTGGCCGAAATGCATCATCTCCTGGTGCTTGTAGAGTTCCCACTTCCTCACCCTAACCAAACCATGCGTATCGGAAGTTGCGCTCCGCATTTCATGCGACATCTTCCGCTTCCCTCGAAGAAAGTGTATGCACGCTGAATGTCAGTATTGTGCAGAAGTGTGCTTTCTAGCTTCTTTCAAACTCACAACCGTTTTTATCATTTAATTTCTAGAACGCTTCCAAACGAGCTGCGTCTTCCTATAAATACGAAAATCTATACGTAAACCCAGAACAATTAATCGAAAACACTGGAAATGAATTTAATGAATTTAATGAATTAGCTATTGACAAAGTTCATTAATGTTTACTATAAGAGGACGGAAAGAAATTAGAGTGCACGCAGAAACGCAATTAAAGCTATCAAAAACGCTCACGACATACGTCCATTATGCTTTATCATGTTCAAAATAAAACATCTACTAAGTAACCGCGTGTAAGTGCCAATTCTCGTGCATAACGTTCTAGCTTCCGTCCCGCTATCGCGACTTCCTGTTGTTTTGGTAAGAACAGAGCAGAATTTAGCACCATGACAACCTGCCCAGTACAGAAGAAGTTTTTCTTTCGTCTTTATTTGAGATCAACGTTTTTTTGCTTTGTTCAATAGGATGTTGTACGAGGCGGTGGTCCTTATAGCAACGTTTGCTTGATACTTTGATAGAGGTATCATACCAGCGTATTTCTGTGGCCCTAGGTGAACATTAATACTTTTGGCTACGGATCGTCAGTCTTTCATGCTGGCACCAGCAAACGAGCCGGCAGTTTATCAACTGTGTCTGGGTGCTCTGGTGGTATTAGTAGCATTTTATGTTTCATTCTCACAGATGATACGGCAGTTCTGATTTCGGCGTTGGATTGACTAAAAATGCCGTCAAGAGCAATCACTTTATTGAGGGGTATTTTAGAGCCGCGGACGTGAAGCCCAAATGTCTCAAGTACATAAAACCCTAACATTTGCTCAAACTTAGAGCATTAAAATTAAAATTATAGCTAACATTAATCAATCGATAATAATAAATATCTAATGACACTTTAAGTGACGCTTGCAGACCACGTGTCCCACGAATATCTTCATGTGAGGTACCATTGCTTCAATAAACTTGATCATTACACTCTAATATGGTACTCTATCGAACTTCATTCTAGTTTGAATCGTGATCGTGTATTTTGTTTGTACAACAGAATAGGGTACATATATCTCATACAAAGTCATCAGCATTTGTTATCATCCTTTTTCGATCATCATATACATGTACATCTGTCTCGAATCTAACCGATCATACAAGTTTTATTACGATATGCCAGACAGGTGCGTTCTGAATGCGCACTTGAAATTCGAAACTGCAGTCCGTCGATTGAGAAGTCAGCTCGGTAAGGATTTTGGGCGAATCCGGCAGTTTAACTTGTTGACTTTAAGCAATTAAATTTTACAGACACCATGTCTAAATGAAATGAATCTGAGGGGAACCTCATTATAATTTTTTAAAAAAAAAATAATGTAAAATTGCTTTAGATCAAAAATATGTCTTTTTAGAAGAGGAGAGAAGCGAGTTGTAATTTACACTGATCGATACTGAAACCCAGAAATCTTCAGTATTATCTCAACAAGGCAATGTTTGTCTCTTTTGGACCTCAAGAGCCTGTACGTACCGACGAATGTGTATAGCACCTTCTGCCTCTGCACAATTGTGTAAACTCAATAATCCACGGTTGTCCTAAAACCACTTTATACCTTAGAGTGATTGCGACTTATCACAAGTACCGAAAAATGATACTTTTCGACGATGAGGGAACCGTGTAATCGAGAGGTCCGGAGTACATGTGGGACGCCAAGCAATAAAGGTTGATATATCATGAAATTTTAGAAACGACTAATGCAGCGGGGCTACCGTAGCTTTTTACTAAAAGGAAGCTTACTAAAGTCGCCTACCCTACGTTCTATACTAGAACCAGTACGAATGTCGCAATCCACGATATCCAAGAGCAAATGTAATCTTCCGTCCAAATTGAAAACTGTATCTGTCTGTTTTTATTTGCGGCAGAGCCGAATATATCCAAAACCTTAGGTTTTCCTTATTAAATAGTAATCCTATCTAATATGCATAACTACTGGCAGTCCCGCCACGTAGTGTCTCCTCGTTACGGTGAAGCCATACAGGTGACGGTTGTCCCCACAAAAAAAACACGTCGGGCGTTTACACGCTGCTCAACAGCTCGAAGCTCTCCCTCCTCCTTCTCAGCATAGCTGATATCCATTGGTGCAGGCCCGTCCAACGAGCTCTGAGGGTGTGCATTCCTTCCAAATCGTGCCGACTTGAAGAGAATTCGGCATTCAATTCCACGTTCGCCGCTTTTTCAGAAAAGACGGATGAACACGGAATACTTCCATTATGGTCACTCCAGTGCGGAGACTCTCCATAACGATGGTCACTGTGACCGTTTCGGGGAGAGGATCAGCGGCCATTTTGGCTATGAGAGTATGCAACGCATGGACAAAGTTCGCCAACTCCTTCTTGCTCTGTCGGGCAGCATGGAAACGCGATAGTTGTACGCCCTCAGGGCCAACATGGAAATCAGTTTATTAAGCTCGGCCTGCATGCCCTGGAGATGATTAGAAACCTGCTTCATTTTCACAGAGGATCAGTCGTAACGACTCAAGCGTAGATTGACTACAAGTGCTACCAAGTACAGCGGGGCTGTCGTAGCTCTTTGCTTAGAGGAAGCTTACTAAGGTCACCGACCTTACGTTCTATACTAGACCAGTAGGAGTGTAGCGGATCACAATCCACAATATCCGAAATCTTATGCAATGGTACTCTTCCGTTCAATTTTGAAACTGTATTGAGTTTTAGTTGCGGCAGAACCACCTATGTCTAGTACCTAACTTCTATGCATTACTACTGACAGTCCCACCACGTAGTGGCTTCTTGTTACGGTGTAGCCACATCATTGTGTATTTGCACCAATTTGTGTGATCTACACTTCTGTACGGTTGCACCATCTTGTGTGACCCACCCCTGTATACCAGGGTACGTGTAACCCAGTTACAACTTATGTATGTTGTACCAATATAAACAGAATTGACTCTTAATGAATGCACCAGGGCAATTTAGGCAACTAGTGCAGTAGGAGATCTTGCTTTCGTTTCTAAGTAAATCATTCGAGCCCAACCTTTGTGAGTTTGTCATTAATCAATTTAGAACTTTCTCAGGGCAAAGTCCGCGGCAACCCCGTTGTGGCATGACATTTTATTGAAAGAAGATCGAACTTGCGCTATCCAGCCTCTGGTTAGCCAAGAGCTATCCATTGTACCCATCTCACACATATCTGCGTTCCTACATGGACATACGATGTTCTTTTTTAGCTCACCGTGCGTGCGACTTCCTTTCTCTCCTCTTCTCATCGACATCGGCAGGGCACTCAAACAGTGAGATTCTCCTCTACTCCTACAATCAAGCAAATAGTGAGACTAATCTGTTCATTGTGGGTGGGACTCGGTGGGACTATTAAGAAGCGTCTGAATGTATTATTGCTTCCTCAGAAGAGCGAAAATGTCAAACTGTAACGGGGTTACACGTACCTAGATGAATGGGTGGGTCACACAAGATGGTGTGGTTACACAATGATGTGGCTGCACCTTAACAAGAAGCCACTACGCGTATGCATTTTAATAAGGATTTTCTTTTTGATTAGTAAGACAAATAGATTTAGATATAGCCGGCTCTGCTGAAAATTAAAACAGACAAATACAGTGTTCGATTTTGAACAGAAAATTTTTTTTGCCTTAGAATAAGGTTAATGGGTACACTTGGAGGTAACGGACTGCAATCCGCTACAATCGTACTGGTTTTAGTATCGAACGTAAGGGCATCTACCTTAGCTTAGCTTTCTGAAGGAGCTACGGCAGCCCCGCTGCACAAACTGCTTTGAGTGCAGGATCCCTTCGAATAAGTTGTTGACCTGCGAGCTGCAGTACTCATCTCTTTTGTCTCCAATCACCGAGAAATCTGCCTCCATTGGTGTTCGGAAACATGGTAGCCGGACCGACTTCAAACTGGTGTAAATAGTCTAATCTGCCTTGACGCCGCACCCAGCCGTTATTAAAACCCGTTTTTGCATCGAAACAGGCGTCTATGGAGCTCATAGACACATGCCTCACACGGCACAAAGAACGAAGAGATTGGCGGTCTGGTCGATCTGAATCTGTGTCCAGCCGGCCCGCTGAAGTCACTTCACTCACTGGTGTAGAAGCTCGCTCAGCACAGCAGCATAGCCTCGGAGAATGAAACATCAGTGACAGTAAGGAATCCGTTAATTATGCCCCTTGAGCTCCAAACAGCAGGCTAGTGATCAGCGAACAGATTTGCATTAGAAATTACTATATCTGTAGCATCGCTTGCTTACAAAGTCTTCATCAATCCAATCACAAAGATGTCTTGATCGCAAATAAAGACCAGCGGGTCAGCGCCGGCCACTAGATAGTCTCCACGACAGACGTGAGCAACAGCAGAATAGTCGTTAGCAACACATATTTCCATTAGGAACCTTTAACCAGGCAAATTATTGGGAATTATATCTCACAATTAGGTTAAATTGGCTTGTTGCTGACTCGGCGTAAACACGTTTTTGGTGCGATGACATCTAAGCATAGTAGTGTTATCCACCAGACGACGAGAGACTTGCACGCTGCTTTCTTCTTTGAAGATATTCTGAAACGCGCACAAGATGCGTGCTTTGTACCAACAGCCACTGTAAGATTTACTGCACGCAATTAAACCATTTTAAGCCGTCACGAACTTTTATCATCAGCAAAAGAGCTAAACACCTTCCTAGCGACAAGGTAATCGCACCAAACGTGCACCAAAGGGAACATTGCTGCCTGCTCATATCGAGTTTGCATATCTGTAAATTGGCCAGGATCGCTAACCGTCCTTAGCGATAGACACGATCTTGAGTAATTAAAGGCATTAAGCGCCTTACATGCCGTATTTAACAGTGTTCCGGACATTCTGTTCGTGTGTGACAGCAGAGCAATCATGTGAATGTTGACCGTCATTCTGGAACTTGTGCGAAAATAAATTAGAATATTCATATTCAACGTTCCTTGTTCGTGCCCAATGTCAAGCAGAATGGAGCTCGCTCAGCAGCGACGAAGAATCTATGACTTGTCGACTGGCAGTGCAGATAGTTCGTATAAATGTAGCACAGACGTCTCCATTGCAACCTTGCAAGTAGTTGGGGGTTGTATACTCCCGTGCAACGCCAACAAATCTGGACGCACTTCGGAACGACACTTTTTGTGATTCCTAGACTATTTGAAAGCGGAGGATAGACTCATGAAAAGGTTGCTTGTGTTTAGCGCCAATTATTGCCTTTCGTCCGAACTTCAACGAAATTGGCACGTCACGGCGCCAGTTGCCTCGTCGCGCATAATGACGACCAAGCCGACAGGGGCCTCATGACCACGATGAAACAGGATCTGTTCACCTTTCTTGGGTATCGCAACTGACAAAAGAGAGAGGCCGCGGTGGTTTGTGGTGCATCGTCGAAGTCTTTGAGTAACGTGCGCGGATTCCAGCACCGCTCGGAAATTGTCGCCGCGCGCAACGGAAACAGTAGACTGTACAGGGTTTCGGCAAGTTTCTGAGCAAAATTTTCGTGCATGTGGCAGCAAGCAAGCGTGAGCTTGTTTGCTCTCACATGCATGAAATTTTTGCAATTTGGAGGCTCGGAATTGCAGTGCGCCATTGCAGTGTACTCGTTCAGGCTGGCCAGTGGTAGTCGGAGACGAAAGAGTCGTAAAGCACCGAAAAGCTGCTGCGTGCGTACATTCTGCTACCTCGCTGTGCAGCTGCAACAGCGATTTGCTCGGGTTCATTGCTCGCACTCTCTCAAACCTCCAGTACCTGCACTTGTGCCCTTGATCGGAACCGTTAGGAAAAGCGTTGGCGCCTCTTTGGACTTTTAGGCGGACTTCGTACGCTATCTACATGAGGCGCATTGATTTCACAAAGCGTTCTTCCTTGCCAACGTTCGGCATCACTATCTACAGGTATTCGCACGATATGTTTTCTTACACCTTTTCAAAAGGCGATCAACGACATTGCGTACCAGTCACGGACCTACAGCAAGCCTTTTCTATAGCATCAACAGTGGGTGCTGATGTCGCGCTTTTCAATGGAGGTCCGGGTTGATCGATACAGGCATCACCGGGCGCAGAAAATTCCTGATCACACCGGTAAGGATATTGATGTCGACGGAGATGAGGCACATCAGACGGTAGTTACCACTTACCCGTCTTGAAGCAACTGAGAGATTACCGCTGTATCGTCAGAGTTGAACGCGTTAGGAGTTGCGAGCTTCGACGTCGATCAATAGTTTGTCGCGCAGTGGATTGATGTCGACATCCGAAGTTGAAGTGTCAATGTGGCCGTCGTGACCAAACACAAATGCTCAGAATTTCCATTATGGGTGCTGGACGCTCACCCTTAGTGTGACAATATCACTTTTCAGTGAGCGGTGGAGCATATTCGAGCCCAGGGGTGACATTCCTGCTTTACTCTCTCGACGAAGTCACCATGGAAGCTGATGGCGGCCTGGATCATCTCGTGGTTGTCGCGCGTGGTTGCCAATCCTGTTTTTGCTTCCTCGATCGCGTCGGTACTAGCTATAGTAATTTTTGACAGCGTTAATAGGTGCACCTAGCACTCTTCGATTTAAATATGTGATGGCTTTGGGTCGATCGCTGGAAATCTACGTGTGGGAACTCCCTGCTCGTCGCACCTGACGATTGTAGTATCGTGTGTGCGGGTGAACACAACGTGCCGCTTCTGAGCGCTGGCATTTTTGGAAGCTACTATGCCGCGCACCTTGGCTCAGCCTCCTGCTCACAGCTAGCATCAGCGTCAGAATGAAGTGGTCACTTAACGCGCGATCGTGGATCGTGTTGTCCAGGTGGCCCACTGCATGGCAGTACCGCTCTGCGAGACGAGGATGTATTTGAGACAGTTGATGCCCCTCGGCCCCGTGCGCACTCGTGGTAATTGCGCCAGGTATCGACGACTTTGAGGTCGCACATTCACTGATGCAGCGCGGAATGGCTTTGCCCGTCGACTGCGTTACGGTTGTCTGAGTTTAGGGCCGGGGCTCTCAGGCAGCTAGATAATCTGCATATGATGTCAGTGGCACCAGTTTCAAATTTGCGCGAAAATGTCGCTGCGGCGCTTGACTGACGCATACACATAGTGAGTACACACATCCATTGAAATTCAACGAAAGCGAACGATAAGGATGCAATCCGCCACATCGAGCTCTGCCACTCGAGTTGTCGCGCAGGGTTGCGCATATTACGCTGTGTGTGTCCAGCAGTCGAAGGCCACTGAAAGCGCCGTGATCGATTCCTATACCGTGTTGGCACCGGCGCAGAACTTGTTAAATGTGTGCTTGACGGCAATCACTTCGTGATGCAGTTTCGCTCCTGTATGGTTCATACAGTAGCCATCTTGGACGTGTTTACTGTTGCGGTTGCGCATCAGAATCTCGAGTCTGAACATGGGCGTGTCCGTGATGCCATCTTTAAGACCTCTTTAGCATTGATCTTGCGCAGAGACGACTGCGGCTTGTAGAGATTCGTTGTCGTTCACCACCTTGAGCGTCACGAAGCCTGACAACATCTTCTTTGCCTTCGTCTTATTCTAGCAATGCTAACGACAGGTTTCAGAATCGACCAACTCTTCGGTCGCCGCTACGAAATGTTAAATCGTGTTATAGGAATCTCAATGTACCGGTATTCCGCATGCTTAAGGTTAAGTACTATTAAGTAATCTCTCTTCAAACGTCTTCGGTCAAAACTTCGCGAATTCTGTCGCTAAGTCCTAATAGACCCTCGTTCGTATGGGATGAAACTAGATGATGCGGTGACGACTTGAGCCTGAATATACACATTTATGGAAGTAAGGTAAGCTGTCGCTCGTTAACGGGATATGACCAGTATCTATACCTTTGCTGTAGCAACACCTGGTCGGCTGACGGCTGATCAATTTTCGAGACGATGTCGATCCATTTATGCCCAGGGCGCGATTTTGCAATTCGATGTCGAAGCTCATCCCTTAAAAGGATCTGATCGGCTGTCGACGTACCAGATGAGCCCGTTGGATCGAAAACGTAACCGATCGACTGCAAGCACGGTGTAAGTTAGCTCAGCGAAGTAAAAGCTCATGTTTAAGTGCAGCGCAACGTACGGCTTGCGTCTTCTCTATCATCGCAATCGCTAGCTTCTCGATAGAGTTTCGACTTTCATTCGGGCGGTTGATCAAACCAGGAGTGTCTGCAATCTGCAAAATATCGGGGAGAGGCCGTTTGCAAGGAAACACGAGAATTGCTGCTCAAAGTAATTCTTCGTCATCATTACCTGGTATGAGATACCTTCAACAAAAATGTGGCCCATCGTGATTCCACGCGTTGTGAATGGGTAATTAGCTACCTGAGAAATTGCGGTTAAAATTGTGTCATGAAAATAATATGTTTGCAAACTCTATTGCTTACTTCAGGAGAAGCAGTGGACAGTGCGCGCACTAGCGATGATTTTCCTGTTAGCATTGATATATTAATGATACACAAAGTAAACGAGGTAAGAGCAGGGTACAACAAGACTGGCGAGTTGCAACTTGCCGACATTTGGGGCTCCAACAAATGCGAAAATGGGCTTGTCAAGGTCGACATGAGGAAGTCCTCGAAGCATCTTTGCCATATTCGCCACTTCAATGAGCGTATCTGTGTTGGAATCAACTGCATTCTTCAGCCCCTGCACTTTGAAGTAGCCTTAAGTCATATGAAACGACTGCCATAAAAGCATTTAGCTCCCACCTCGACGCACCGGAATCCCCAGTCAAATGCCTCTTTTTTTGTGCGTGACCCTTGACAATCAAGCTCGTAATGTTTTCCAACTTTATGTAGTGTCGCGTATACTTCGCGTAACTTTTGAAGAGATTTCTCGTACGTGCCTTCGCCCAGCGTCAGTACCACGACCTCTCGCTCAAACGGGTGCATGCATCTGAGTGCCGGAAAGGCTAATGACGTTTGGCGCGTGACATCTGATAGATTCTTTAGCTGCATGTTAATGCAGCGCGAGGTGTAATTTTTAGCACGTTTGATGGGGTCCACAATGCGGTTGTTCTCGCTCACGGAAGCCCGCCAGAACTTCATCTCCAAAATCTCCGCTGCAGTACGCACGTACGGGAGTCTGCAGCGCTCATTTTTCGTCAATAGCCATCGATATCTATCCTTTTACAAGATGCAATTTACCTCTGCAGCGCGCCATGAGACATATTTTGACGTGGTAATATATCAACACTTCGTTGTTGTTGGAGATTTTATAAAATCAAATTTTAACGACGCAAATAATATGGCGACCAATAAGATCTTTTCAGATGATGGATTTATGCTTGAATACTTATCAGAAAATAACCCCTCCAGAGGATTCTATGTTGCCCACAATCCATCCTTAATCAACAGCGTCTCATCACTTCATGATACCCAACTGGACCCGGTGGCGTGGATCGAGTGGTCAGTGTTTCTGGGCCTAGCGGTTTGTGGCGCGGGTTCGAGCATTTCATCGGACAAAATCGTAATCGAACCAGACATGCAAGAAATGTCGGCTGCATGTAAAATATTAACGACAACAGCCAATAAGGGCTTTGGGATGACTCGTACAAGAAAAACCAAGAATTAAAATCAAGAAAAATACCCCAGCGAAATGAAGGACTGTAATATCTTTGTCAGGGCTGAGTAGGTATAGCCGTGTAATAAGATAATACATAGCAGCTTTCAACCGATACCAAACTGTTCGCGGTCGGCCTTATTTCATCTCAGATGTACTAAGAATTATACAATATGTGCGAAGCTAAAAATATACGAGCGTGGATTTGCTTTGTCAATATTATTTGTATGTTTCAAGATTAACAATACTTGTTTCCACCCCACATGCAAACGAGTCGATTGATGTCCATCGTGGTCTCATCTACCTGTCACTATACCATAAAATTCGACTATGACGTCGCATAGAAACCCTTCTCAAGTCGGACATCTTTGTTTATGTCACCCATTCGTATTGGCGAGCAATGACTGGACTTCAGCTGTATGTTCAAGCAAAATGTATAAGAGATTACTGACCAGTTTTACTGGACGCGTCTTTTGAAAGACTTATATGAAGCCCGTGCGATAGGACTGCCAACGTTTTGGCTTCTTCACTAGCACTACCCGATGCATATGACGAGGGACTTACCCGTTGACACTCAAGTGATTCCCATTCGTATTGCATAAACAACCAGAACATAGCGCTAACGAACCCGTATGTCTAATCTACTGCAGGATGTGTGTCACTCGGATCTATGCTGTGATTTCACAAGCCTTTGAATAAGAGATGACATCGTGAACGTGCTTCAAGCGCTTTACGAATGCGACATCAGAATTTGAAATCACTTGTTTTGCATTTTTTCAAAGGATCACGCATAGATGTTTCTAATCCATATGTCGTATGCTTTGTCTCCTTGATGCGCGGCGTCATCATCCTGACATGCGACAATATATAGTTTGGGCGACGTAAATGTGCATCCACCACATCAAGCCAGCCGATCATATATATAATATCAAAAATAATCTCCGCAACGAAGCATAACCAATTGCTATTCTCTACGTGATATGTTAACGTGCGCAATGATGCGTGAGCTGTATGAAAAGCAATAGCTTGAGCCAAGCAGGTTAATCTTTAACTTGGCGAAATTATGTCTGATAGCTCCGTGTCGTGATTGGCTAGTTCTGATCTACTACTTTAAGTTAGCAGGTCTTAATCGTAAGACGCTTTTAAAAATGTTGGCATTTGCTTGAAGTTTTGCGAAGCTTCTAGTCGAGGCTAAAACGTTACAGACGACGTGAGATGGCCGATCCGATCAGGATCATTAGTAAAAACGCCACTGACGGATTCGCTTCATTCCGGAATTGACCTTCTTTGGGTTCGTGCTCTGATGACCGAAATCAGTATACAGAATTTTCTATACCGCCTCGAAAATTGTTTTTTATGCCGCACTTCAAGTCTCTTAGCATTCCCTCCGAAGTTATTGGTAAAACACCGTTCCAGGTGGGCGCAATGTGCGCTGATGCTCCAAGGTGCTTCCATGCGTCCATTTAAGATACTGTTACTCGCCAATTTTTATTAGCTTTGGTCTAGTCGGGACCAGTCCACACACCATAACCCTCAATGAAACATTATTTCGTTTCAGTGTCACACTAGATGTGTGCCACACTGGAGCTCACACTTCGTTTGGTATCAAGAGATTGCGCAAAAATGAACGCTCAGTGCTGCGACACCCCGAAGAGAGGCTCACAATAATGTCCAGGTCGCTGCGATGATCTGGACCAAGCTCAGATAAGAGTTGACCGTCTGCAAGCGCACGAGTCATGCAGGGTCTGGTTAATTTCACCAAGTGAGAAATATGGTTTTGAGCGAAAAAAGAGTTCTTTTCGCGCTGAGTTGGTGACCATACGCGCTACTTATATGGTCTTTCCATCAGACTGAGAGAAAAGCGGTGCCCAAAAAAGCTCTGCGAGTGTTCTCTGTCCGGAAAAGTCCTGAACTCTCGTGAGTTATACCTGTGCTTAAACCAGCAGAATCTTGTACCCTTCATGTGGGTCGTATCTTTGTGACTAAATAATAACCGGAACGCCGATCGACATCACACACTAAATTGCGCACTTGGTAAGGACTTACATCGTCTTGTTCGTCTCACAGTTTTGCAAACCAACTTAAAATTAAGCTGATGTCGGAAGAGGGTTTCAACACATGCTTAACTTTTGGAAGCTCAAATCATGACGCTGACACCGAGTTGAAAATTTATCACTTACTATTTTTGCGATTGCAAGCTCATTTCGTCTTCAGGAGACAGCTGTTAAAGCTACCGACCGAGTTTCAACAAGCAACATGGTCAATTTAACTCGCGATTAGGGGGCGCATTGCGATGGGCGACCCTGCCTTATCGTTAGAGAGATGAAGGCTGAGGATGCATTCGGCCATACGAGGTGATGAATCCTGGGAAACGAGACCTCAAGCTCCGTTACGTTCTCCACCCTTTCTACTAAGCACATACTGATAACAGCTCTGGTGTACCTGCCAGCTAACTAACCGCTGTACTTGAAGTAGGTCATACCTTAATCATAAAAGTATCGGCACTGCGGCTTACTCTTTTAAACCAGTCGAGACGGAACGTCGACTGCTGTCGTGAGTCTCTTCCTGCGTACAGAAGCGGGATATATCAGATCTAGAATGAGCTTGCCAAGCTTTGTCATCCCATTTTGGAAATTGAGGCACCTCTGCTGCTTTCGTGCAGAGGGGAATTCAGCTACATGGGAGCCTAAAGACAACGCTCCGTCTATAACAGAGCGCTTTGCTTTTGGCTGGCTTGTAAAAGCAGAGTTGGTGTGTTCCTTCAATAAGCCGACCAAGCGCACATAATGCGTTTTGCATTCTCTCAGAAATGAATATAACTCATTTTTTTGCTTCGATCGTTAATTGTCAGATTAGCGCGTTCGCAATTTAGTTTCATTGCTTGTAGACACTCAACGAGTAGGTCGGTAACAAGGTATAATATAGCGTTTTCTAACTATGTGCTCTGCTGCTCCTGCAACGGCGTGTTGCTTTCAAACATTCTTATCCTCGGTCAGAGATTCGCGCATCCATGTGATGTCGCTAAACCTCATTGATATGTGATCTGTTCTTTTTCTACATAGTGAAGCCAGACTTATATCAGCGAGTCAATCAACTCATCTCCACCAAGACCGGATCTACTGCGTGGCGTAGTAATAAAAGAAACGTCTATCAATTACTTTCTTAAATTCGGAAAAACCGAAAGAGCATGCAATGCGATATTTAATACAGACTCAATTATTGGGAGCAATTCGTTTCAATACCGGGTCTATCCATGTATAAGCGAACGATATCCTCTACCACAAAATAGACGCTTTTCGCATGGCTTTGGCATGTCTAATATGGTGTCTAGTACCTCAAAAAGGCTGTTTAGCGCTCATCTCGGTCCGACCCAATGATCACCAAACTATGTTGTCACGACGCTTTGTCGAATAAAAGCTTGGCTGTATCCTTACTGGTCGCACTATCGCTGACAGCAGCAATATAAGCCATCTTGCACTGACATGTAATTTAGATCACAATCCCAGTATTACTCGATGCGTCTTTTAGAATTCCAAAACTGCAACTCATACTTTCGAGCTGCCAACAATTTGTTGGCACTCTGCATACGAGCAATCATATGTTTTACTCACGTATAAACGTTGTTCCATCAAGATATATCGCTCAGAAAAAAGTATGTTTTTCCTCTTTCAAAGCGGCCGTTCAAAGCAACATTATGTGCCGTATACAGTTTTCTGGTCCTAAACTACTCATCATTAGTAAGCACCACACGCTAAGTGTGAAGCGTGTTGGTGCTGTAATATTGCAGGCCGTATTAGCGGTACAAACGTGCAGCTGCACGCTTTGATATAGCAGCATCCGAGGTCACAAAATCTTTGCTTCCCAGTGATATCAGCAACGCGAACATAAGCGGTAGGTATCGAAGTAATAATATGCAAGGTCACCTCGACATGAGACAATGCATAACCAGGGCGTTCCGAAAACGCACCCGCCGCCTCATGAAGCGGGCCAGCTTAAATCTTTCCTAACAGGGAGTTTTGCCATCTTGCATATCTCTGTCAGAAGCTTGGTCACGACTATACTGTGCGCAACGCGGCGTGATCTGTATTTTCACAAAAAAAATTACGGTATGCAGATTTAACGGGGGCATACTTCATTAAGAGTAGCCACTTGACTTAAACTGACTAGTATATCTCTGCTGCATCAAACTGGCAAGGTTTAAATGCGATCACACGTTGGCGTCTGCTTGGAGTTGGAAACCCCTGTGGATAATACTATCGCGCCACCGATGTCGTGAAATGGTCTATCTGGGTCTGCAAGAGCCGGATTTAGAGAACGCCTGAATCATTTTCCATCGACCTTAAAAGCCACCTCGTCTACTAAGTATCGACACCATTTGACATCTCTTTGTAAGAGCGTCGTGCCATGTCGGCATGATTTGCACGTTTTGGTTGAGGTGACAGGATAGACTAGCCACTTCCTTCACTCCTGTTGGGAATTAATCTGCAATACCCATCAGTTTGCGGGATTTGCCTGCAGGCCATACTTTTCATTGATAATTTTCTGAGAATGGATCCCCTTGAGGAGAAAGACACACTTGTCAATGCTGCCGAACAGCTTATTCACGTG